AACGATCCTATAAACCACATTATTCATACTGAATTGTGGTTAAAAATTTCAACCTTTCTATGGAATTACAGCATAAGTGTATGTCATAGCTTTTACATAAGCGATAATTTGTCTATGAGCTAATGCTAATCCTTTAAATTAATGTTAAGTCTATGGGGTGTGCAAATCCTGTGGACTTTTATTAAATGTGTAGATAATGTTAATCTATTCTTTGAGCACTACCCAAAGTGTGGTTAAAGTATAGAATAGCGTGTGATCATTGTTTCCCGTGTTATCTATTTTCTTGTTACATTTTTTTATTTTCCCAATAAATTCCTTGGGATCTTTAGAAGTTTTAAATTATTACATTACATTACTATTATATTATATAAAAAATATCACGAGTTGATTGTATCCCTTAGTACAATACAATTATAAATTATACACACTAAATTTCCAACAATAATAAAACCATATTTCCGTGAACACTAGTTATAATTACTAAAATTTGTTTTATTAAAGGGTATGCAAAGCGCATCGGCGCCTAAAAACATGAGTTTGCGGTACTGTTCGCCGGTGCCGGTTATATCGGGGCCGTCCGCGACATCTGGCACCAGTAAGCCTGGGCTACGGCGGCGGCCGTTGGCACTGGTACTGGCGTGGATGTTTGCTCGGGACAGCCATCTGGACAAATACCGTCGTCTCTGGCATCGACGTGGCTTTGACGTACTCACCGTACAAACCACGCCATTTGATCTACTGGTGCCGCCGGTGGGCGCCCAAGCGGTGGCCCGACGGTTGATCGGCTACCTGTCCCGACTAGAGCCCCAATACGAGGACATTGTTGTTCACGGCTTTTCGGTGGGCGGCTATCAATACGGCGAAGTGTTGCGATCGTTGTGTCGGATGTCCGGCCCCGACGGCTACGATGGCCACAATCGTGTTAGCATTAGCCTCGCGTTAAAAGGAATAATATTGGACTCGTTTGTACACCCGGACGACTGCGCTCCAGGACTATCCTACGCGGCGGCCGCCGGTCACCCTATTCTGCGGGCTGTGTTGCGCGCGCACATTGCCTGTTATCTGACACTAACGCCCAGCCTTACGATTGACAACTATAATCGCGCGTTTGAACGCGTGTACGCCAATCCGTTACGATTGCCCGGTATGTTTAATGTGGCCATCGTGGTTATTGATTAGTGGTTATTTAGCATAATTTTATTTAATTGTATTTTATTCACTTCAGGTTTATTGCTGTATTCAAGCGCCGATCCGGTGAGCTCTGTGTCGCGAAATGAGTTGTTGGCCGACCGATGGCTAGAATCGGGCGTATCGGTGGACACACAATGCTGGCAACGGTCTCCACATGTGCTCCACTATCATCACTATCCCTATGAATATGAGCAACAATTGGACGCATTTCTTAAAAAATTAGACATTAAATCAGCTCGAATTTGAATTGCAAATAATTTTCAATATATTTTGTTACAATTTTTAAATAAAATGTTTAATATTCTATGTACACTAGTGAATAGACAAATGTTTAATTATTTGTGTTTAAATACGATGACAAACCTTGATCCTCATCAATTAAAAATAATATCAAGATGTTATTATGATAATCTATATAGCATACAGTACAATAACAAAATATGTAGAAATTATTTTTGTAAATCAAAACATTTTGTAACAAGATCATATTTAATGCAAAAATTCAAAATCACTTTCCCAGATAACTAAACATGCTATTGAAAAAATTCCAACGGGTTCATGAATAAAACGTTAAAGATTAATTATTAGAAGGATCCATTAAGTTAAAATTAATTTTAGTCATTATAAATTACAAAATTCTCATAATGAATATAAATGAATAAAAATTGATTTTTTTTATTCCATTGGGTGTAAAATGTTTATTTATTTATTACCAAATCCTAACCCCCGCCCACGCTAAAACACAACCGTTCATACCTTGTGCAAACATATACTGCTTGCAAACAAAGTTTGTACTACAAACTGCTAAAATTGATGCTTAAATAGTGTACATTATTTTGTAAATTATTGGTATTGTGATTAGAAGTTATTAGAAAATGACATTGGTCAGTTCCAAAAGGGTCACAGAAATGTGTCAATTATGTTGTTTTTCATATAATACCCACACATTATATGTGCGAATTAGTATATTTAAAATAAATTCATTTGAAAACCCCTATTTAATTTCTGGAAAACACTTAACATTTTGGGATATTAATATTAACATAAATTTCAAATTATATTTAAGGCCAAAATCGCATTATTAATAAAAATTCCTTGCTTATCTGAATAAATGTCGTAATCAATAATTATAATATTAATTTTTTTAAATGAAAGTGTTTGGATAAATTGTATTGGGCTAGTTAACTAAATAAATAAGACTAGTTAACAAGGTATAAAAAATACTGCAATAATACTGCAATAAATATAAAATTACTGCACCCAAATGGTTTAATACTGTATTTTTTGCATTGACATAAATAAGTTGACATTGAAATATTTAATAAAAATATTATTGCCTATATAAAAAAGTTAAATGCCATTTGCATAAAATAAATATTAATTTTTATTGGTTACCATTAGTAAGGGATTGCATAAAATTAATATTAATATTTATAATTCATAGGATATTTAATCCTAAATGTTGTAATAAAACTTAATATCACGATCAATTAAGTGCAATTTTGCTAAAACTATTTAATTAATAATAATTTGCATTTTAATGTTTAATTATATCAAACTATCAATCAAAACAATCATAAATTATTAAATTATTTATTAACAAAAACACATGACATGAAAATTGTTGTAAACAATTTTTAAAATATGAAATTAATACTTTTTTTAAATTATTATAAAACAAGCAAATATTTTATTTCATTCGCTTGATTTCACTCGTAAAGTAAATTATTATTGTTATAAACAATATACAGTGTAAGTAGTGATTGATTATTTAAATAATAAATAAGTTAATTTTATTTTTAAAAATTACTATAAAGAATCACAAAAATGATGATGGTTACCATAATTATGTTGACGGCGAAAGTATTGATCAATGTCTATACATACGCCACACTTCCTTACTATTACTTTAGCCAAAAACCTTGGCTAAAGCTAAACAAAGCCCAGAGATGTCGGACCCGATTAGTGGTGCCAACGGACGCGGCCGACAGCCATTGGGTACGCGATGAACCCGAACTGACTCATTCAGTTATGCGCCCGACTGTTACCGAGATACTAAACAACCTGGTTGATTATCATGGTCCTAATACACCAATTTTAGGTATGATTTACTAGATTTATTATGTGTTGATTATTATAAGTAAATACAATGAAAAATTGACCATGTTATATTTGAGCAAATAACAAGTTTTGTTTATTCATACCATAAGCCTATCGGGAAATACTATCAGTCGAAGAGTTGAGGGGATCCGACGGTAAGGCCCGGCGAGTGGACGGCAGACCGTTACGACAGTATCGGCTCAGCGGTTATAAGTGGCTGACGTACGGCCGGGTGGACACAATCACCACTTCCCTGGCCAGAGGGTTGGCGGCCAATGGGGCCCACTTTCAAGACAGGATATTAATACTATCCGAGACACGGCTCGAGTGGTTTTTGTGCGCTCAGGCCGTCGCTAAACTCGGCGCTTGTATTGTTACACTATCTCCCAATCTAAGTATGTATTTGAGAGAGAGAGAGACTGTAATATATTAAACTGTTATATAATGTGGTTATATGCTGTATGATTATTAATATTCATATCAAAATATTATTATACTGTATTACCAAGGTGATGAAGGAATTGCATACGGCATAAATCAGACTGAAATCAAACTAATGATAGTCTCCCGCGATTTGGTGCCCAAAATACAGTCACTTATTGACAAAATACCGACCGTTCGTACAATAATTTACATGAATGGCAATAATTTACAGCCAGAAACCAAACCCAACGACAAACAAATTACCGACTTTCCCGATACTATCCATGTGTTGTCTATGCAAGAGTTAGAGTTGAATGGCGCCCATTGGTCAGAGATTGTGCTCAAGACACCTGCGCCCGACGATCCCTTTATCATAATATACACGTCGGGCACTACGGGTGCGCCCAAAGCCGCGGTGGCCACCCATCGGCAAATGGTGAACGGGTCGGCCAACGGGTGGCTGTCGCTATTTAAAGAGATCATAGCCGACGGCACCCGTACCCACACGTATGTGGCCTTTCTGCCGTTGTGTCACGTGTTTGAGCTAACCATTGAATTCTTCCTCTATTACGGTACTGTGATTTACACATTAGTAAAATAAACTTTATATGTTTTACCGCATGAACGCCGCCTATAGTTGCGCGATATTATTGCTAACAAAGTGTCACTATATAAGCGAGTTTTGTCATTTTTAATGTCATTTATTATGAAACTTATAAGTTACTATAGCTAACAAAATGTAAGTTATAAATTATAATTTATATTAATAGTTATCTACACAATATGTGAGTAAAAACACACAAATAAAATTATAAAATTAATATTGTTAGTGCACAGCATAAATTATTTATAATTATAAAACAATTAAATTTATTCAAAATCACTTAGATAAGTGAGGACTTAAAAACTTCTTAGAACAATTAGATAATAACTTGCTCATAATAAGTGCGTGCAACTTAAGGCGTCTCTTAACGGTAATAAACTACAGTATATACAAGCAGAATAAATAATTAATTTAAACTATCCCATTCAATTTCAACCATTATTAATCCGACGACACGGAGGCAGTGGGCGTGAAAATAGGCTACGCCACTACATTCACACTAACCGAGTCGGGTCCGGGTCTGGCGCCGGGCGAACGGTGCGATATATCGCTGTTGCGGCCGACGGTTATGATATGCGTTCCCCTAATGCTTGACCGGATAGCGAAGGGTATTGGGGCGCGTCTGAGCGCCCAGTCGTCCCTTTCAGCGCAAATGTTTGCTTATATAATGGCGTATAAATCGCAATGGACTCAACGCGGCTATCGCTGTCCGATTGTAAACAAACTTGTTTGCAGTAAATTGCGGCAACAAATGGGCGGTCAGTTAAAGTTGGCAATTGTGGGCTCCGCCCCTCTCAGTCCCACCACACAGGCCACAATTAAAGCAGCGCTTGATATTGTGCTTGTTCAGGGTAATTTAATTATTATATTTTATAAATGTATCTGCGTGTTAATTAAAGTAGTGTTTATTATACTTATAGTTTATTAAATGCAATTATAAATATGTTATTGGTAATAAATATGTTGAAATTTTTTTTTATAGGATACGCAGCGACCGAGACATTGTGTGCTGGATTAGGTACGTTATTTTATATACAAACTTTTAGTTGCCGTTATAAATGGTGTTGTGAAGTGCCCTTGAAGTTTACGTTAGAGTTGGGGCTCCCATACATACACAGCAACTTTCAACAAGCAGTCTATGTCAATGCCGAGGCCCAGTCTTAGCGCGGATACCAGCAAAGTAAACATAACGGTGCATCCAAAACGGCAGCTATTATTAGTTTATAAAAATAATTTATATATTAATATTTTAATAGATTCTTTGAATTAAATTTTTATTCACCTCTCTCTCTCTCTCAAATACATACTTAGATTG